TGGCCTGGCTCGGTGCTCTGTGACTGGACGTGCTAGAGCCTTGCCCTGGCTCGGCTGGGCCCTCGCCTTGTAAACTCGGCGCGCCGAGGATTTATTAGATGTGCGCGCGGGGTCCTGTGCTTTCTCCTCCAGTTGCAGAATTTGCCCGCGATGTCTGCGTGGCTCCCGGTCCCGCCAGTCGCAGCGTGATGGGTTCCATGCGGTTGGGCCCTCGGAAGGCCTCCGGCTGGCCCCGCGGCGGGCAGCTGCTAGCAACCCCACCCTCGGTGATCAGAAACCTCCCAGAACCGCGAGAGCGTTCCACTCCTCCCGGAGGCGCAGGACAAGGGCCATTTTTTTCCTGATTTTTCCAATGTTAAATTCATCAGGCGTCCGGGAGCCAAGCCCCCTGGATGGGATTTCAGGCTGCACCCGTGACACCCACCCTGGCCCTTTGTGGCGCCCGGCCTGGCAGGGAACGGGGTGCGGGGGGGGGCGGACCTCCAGGGGCGCGGCGGCAGGGCCTCTTCCGAGAGCTCGATCCTGGCGGTGCACTCGAGATGTGAATGCTCTCTGGGCCGAGGTGGGAGGTGAAAGGTAGCCTCCTATTTATACTGCTTTGAAATATTTTCAGTCCTAGAAGGAGAATTATCAATTCAACTGAAACACTGGAAAATGTCTCTTCCAGAATGAGAGTGTATGGTTATTACAAGTCATAAAGCTTCTGAAAGCTTGCATTAAAGCGTCCATCACCTGTCAGGGCCATTTGCATGAAATCAATAGTGGCCGCCCATCTATCTTTTCTGATCACCTTTCATCAGGCCGATTCATTAAGTCAAACAGTCATGGTGATTAGCTGGGAGAGAGGAGAAGCCCTGACACGTTAGAAATGCACAGTGGGCCACCCTTTTTGTTCCCTCATCAAGAAATGTAATACTTTATCTAATCCTTTTTGGGCCAAGTCGCTGGGTGAGGCCCATCCGCCCGGCTGCCCGTGCTGCACTTTCGCCTTGACACCCTTGTCCTGGCCCGGGCAGAGACATGACAAATTGTCCCCCAAGTCAACGCTGACAGCTTCTGATGATTAATGGTTTGATTATGAAGTGGTTTTACACATATAGAATTTACATCACAGAGAGTTAGAAATTTTGCCATGTCACATACGCCGAGGCATTTTGAAGAGCTTTACTATTTGCAAAGAAAACAGAGGGCAAAATCGCAGCAGAAGCCATGTCGTGTAAAATCAATACGTCGGATCAATGCTTTATTAACAAGAAAATGTCTTACTTCACATTCCTGTGCGGACCTTTGTCTCTGGGATGTATGATGGAATGTCAGATCATGTTGTGGCCCTCAACTTACGGGCGTGTTGTTGAGTGTGCGTGCGCGTCTTCCGGCCCCGCCGCGTCCGAGACCCGCCACGGGTGTTGACACCGGCGCTCGGGGAAAAGCGGTGACCAGTTATTTCGGAGCCTCGCTCCTCGAAGCCGGCGCCTTTGTGTTCCCCGCACTCTTGCAGACCTGCCGAGTTGGGTGGTGGTAATCATCAAATTACATGCTGACTAATGAGTGATGGCCCAAATTGTGGGCTGCGTAATGAATAGATGGCGGCAGGTCCTATTAGTCTCAGCAAACCCCCTGATTTATGTCGCGCCATGCACCGTGGCGTTACTCCACGGAAAACGATATCTACATCAAGAAGTAATGTACTCTAATAAGTATTTTCATCTTAACTCACGTCCCCGGGCCTCCGGGCTCAGTTTTTGTTGGAGTCAGGCAAAGCCATAATAAAGCCCAATGGCTCCTTATAATGCTTGTTAAACACAGAGTGTGCAGTCGGACGGAGTCCCGGCCGTGATTCATGCACTGTACACAGCGCGTGTGCCGCTGATTTATGGCCGCGCACAGTTCATAGTCAAAATTACAATTTGAGGGATAAAAAGATTAATTACTATTTGTGGCCGGCAATTTCGTGAGGCTGGTGGAATGATAGTGCTCTACATCAGTTTGTAGTCAGCCATTCACAGATTATTAAAGCTTTGCAAGAATAAGTGCTCCTCCTGCCTGGTTTGTGCTCAGGCAATATGCTAGACAGAAAAGGACCACAGGGATAAATCTGAAGCTAGCAATAGCTGGACATATGTCATAATTGCCAGTTTCCCATAAATCCCTGGCCAGGGTGGAAAGCACCGTGTGATGTAGACAGTGATCATGACAGTGGTGATTGCTATGTATGGCCCCAAGACTTGCAACCTTCAGCCTGTACTACCATTCTGACAATATATTGAGTAACCCGTTGACTTTCTTCCAGTCTAATTATAGATTAGAAATAATCATTGCTTTTATATGCAAAAGAAAGGGGGGAAATCCATTCCTTAAGACAGAGCTAGCGTTCGGGGGTGCTTGCCTCCGAGAGCGTCAGAAAAGGAGAGTCACACATTTATTTGTAAGCGTGCAATAAACGAGTAATGGATGACATAAAAGTAATTAACCTGACCTACATTTCTGTGTCCTGTTACAG